AATGTCCAGAAACATTGTCAATATGAATATTTATACTATAGCCAATATTTTCTATATTTATTATGCAAATTTTTTTCTCTATTATGTGAAAAATATGTATTAAGCGCTTAAAACCAGGCCAGTTTTTTGAAGATTTTATGCAAAGAAATGTTTTTGGATGAAAAATTTTTCCCACATATCGACTTTAAGTTAAGGAGGGAAAAAAATCTCAATGTTTTTATTAATGGTATAGTTGAATATTATTAAATATTTATTTTAATACTCAGAGTTTGTTATTTTTGTAAGATTAATTTTTTGAGTGGCTGTGAATATTTTATTATTATTTACTTTTCTTATTTGCTTAATGATTGAAATGGAATATAGTAGCTAAGACTGAAACAAAACCTAAAAAAACATTCATTTAGCTGTTTGAAACTAATTTTCAAGAAGCCAAAATAGAAATAAAGTGATTATTTCTCACGATAACAGTTGATTTGAATCTGTTTTTTACTTTGCATTCATTATTTTTAATTTAAATTAGAATAGAGTTTATTGTTCTGTGAGTATACATTTGTTATCTCTAAAGTATCATCCAAATATCAGAAACTATTTTAGGAAAGTGTTTTAGAAGTTTCGTGACACTTATGCTTTTTATTCTTTTAAATTTTAGAAGTACTGATAAATTGTCTAGAGAATAGATATTTACTGAAATACTTAAAATTTTAAAATTCTTTTGTTACTTTAAAAGCGATCTCATAGTTCAGTATTTTAAAAATTAACCTAACTTTTCGAATTTGAAATCTATTTCCATTTTAAAAGTTTCAATAAATTAATTATTACCTTTTATGCGCTAAGCTTTTATTAGTTCATAAGATGTAGATCGTTTCAAATTACAAAATCAACATATTCACTTCACTAGCTTTCTTTGCAGTCCCAATAGAAAAGTTCGTGTCGAATATAATTTTAAAGTTCTGAAAGAAATAGTAGTAAAATTCTTTGTGCAGTAAATTGTGTACTTTTAAATTTGTAAGCGCAAAAAAAGATATTGTAAATCCCTTTGGAATTTATCCATTTATCAAGTCTTTGATTCTTTAAGTTATCCGAAATAACACTGTCAGTTCTTTTTTATTTTCAAACTTTATTGAAATGTTTAAAAATTCAAACTTATTGGTTGATTTTTTGACTGATTGATTGATTGATTATAGTTAGTATAATATGTAAATATTTAGCAGCATTATGTATTATCAAGCGAGAGGTATGATTATAGTCACTAAGAATAAGGCAGTAAATGTTGTTTTGTATGGAAATCAAATTAGCATTATCAGTAACAATAAACTGACAGATTTTATAGTATTCTTGACTTGCAAATATTTAATTTGAATTATTAGCAATAATTCAAATAGAAAGAGTTTGAAAAGGCATTGTATAGATTGAATTTTGTAGATTTAGTCTGTAGTAATTTGTATCAATAATAAAATCAGTAGATTTGTGAGCATTTCTGATCATCTACCAATGTATTTTCTTATTGATTGAAAAATTTTGTATTGATTTAAGATTTGCAATTTATCAGAAATTTTTGAAATTGCTGCTAATTTTTTAATAATACATTTTATAAGATTAGAAATATTATTCATTAAAATTACTTAATTGAACTTTTAATAAGTTATTTTTTGAATTTTAAGCCTACTAATTATTACTTTTGCTCAGACCATTTTGATCATATGAAAAATGTCCGTTAATAATAATAATAATAATTATTATTATTATTATTGATAATGCTAATTTCATTTTTAGATTTAGATTTAGATTCAATTTTTAGATTTTATTAAAGTGTTGTTTCAACCTTGTATCTTTTTTAAATCATTTCCTATATCGTTGAAAACACTTGCGTATGTTTGTTGTTTTTGACATCATTAGAATTGTACCTACTAAAAGCTTGTTTAGATTCCGGTTTTGGTAAAAATGTTCTATGTTGTTTAGCAAGCAAGCCTTCTCTACACTTGTTCTCGTAGTGGAAAAACTTATTTCAATCAAATAAATACTATTTAATACTTATGCATCTTACGTCTACTCCGTGCGCACAAATCTCACGTATTTTTCTCAGCAATTTCTCTTTTTCAATCAATTATTTATTGCTTTATTATCAGTTTCCTTTTTATACTCTCATTGAGTAATTGCTTGATTGATCATTAATCCACTTTGCATCTCAAATTTTTGATCAATTTTAAGTTTGTAAACAATTTTAGCTGCTTAAATTATAATTTGTAATCATTCCAGTTCTAACAGGTGGGTTAAATATTTTGAATATAATGAGTAGTTATTTAAAAAATTTGTTTATTAATAAAGTTGCATAATAAATTTTAAAAGTTGTAATTTTCGTATAGTTATACAATAAATATATATTTAAAATGAAATTTTAAAATTATTTTAAGAAAATTTGCGCATCGAAATTAAAAACTTGTCTTGTATCAGTAAAAAAGTGATCGAATTTAGACAAAAAATTAGCACAAAATTAATGAAAGCATACTTTCTGTGTAGTTTTTATTGCGCTTCATATTTCATATCAATCAGTCAAGAAATCAAATTTAAAACAATCATCTGGGCTGCCTCATAAATGAGTACAGCCCAGATGATTGAGGTGTTTGCTAGCGTTAAGTACCAATTCAATTTGCTAAAAAGTTTTTCGAGAAATCGTGCCTAGCTAAAAAGCCAGTCTCGATTATCTATTCTCGACTAGTCTTCCTTCAAGAGTTAGCTTGAGCTCGTTAGTCTATTTTCCTCTATCATTTGCCATCCCATTTCTTTACTATTTATTACTCGTTTATTTATCCATTTTTATTTATGCTTGCAAGATTTCTGATGATTAAATTTCGTACATTTTGATATTTGCAATAACTATTCAAAAAATATTTAACTAACTAACTTTTTATGACTTTTTTATTGTATAAGCTATAATATAATTTGATGTGAATATTTAAATAAAATTTTGCGTGAAATTAAGTGTACGTAAGAATATGCTAATTACTCTCGTAAAAACGTGTAAATTGTTATTATGTTTATATATTATAAGCAAGAAATAAGTATAGCAAGTGAAATAATGTCAGTATCAATAGTAGCAGCTGTTCAAAATTTAAACCAGGATTTCAAGGATAAAATATCGTCTGTTTTAGCTCATTTGGCCAAATAACTTTTTTTCTATTCACTTTTCTCCTATGCTTTCTAAAGCTTTTCTTACATTTCTCTGTGCATTCTTCTAATACTAGCAGAATCTATTTCTTAGTATTGAAAAAAAATTGTTCTTTATTTTCTTGCTTTAAAAATCAGAACTTTGAGTTCTGACTTAAGAACAGAAACTTTGAAGACTGAAAAAGTTAAGAACAATAGAATTTAAAACAAGCTTAAAAGTTAATTTTGAGAAGAATAAGCTAAGATATTTACATATTTCTTCTATTTGAAGACTTTCTTAAATGAATTGACTAGCATTTGAAAATAGATAGTATACAAGTTGACTGTACAGAGTAATTAGTCAAAAAATTTTTGCCTTATTAAAATTCAAGTTTTAATAATTAAAAGTGAAAAATAAGTATTAAATATTAAAGTGTCATTTATCCAATGGATTGATTAATTATTCGTCTTTTTGCTTATAAACTTTGAGCTAATATTGCTAAAATATTTTTTGCTTGTCAAAATATCAATTTATAGCATTTAAAATACGAAAAGATTAAATTTTTTGCATACAGATTATTGGATTACTACTCAATTAGCAATTGTAAACATTTTTTATTTTTATTATTCTATTCATTAATTTGAATAATCATTTATTAATGATCTTTTTTTTACATTATTATTATTATTATTATTAATTTAATTATTAATAATATTATGACCGTATTTGAGTATTTACTTAAATAAATATTTATTTATGAAATGGACTAATTAAGCGAAAAAAATTCAGCGATGAATAATTTTGTTAATGTTTGATTATTTCAGAAGCGTTTTCTCCTTCTTCTTCTTCTTCTTCGTGTGCTATTCTTTTTGTGTTGTTGTTTGTGTGTCGCGTGCGGTGCCGTGTTGTTAGCTTTCTTAGCCTAAAGTAAGTTTTCTGTTTTTTTTTTTTAATTTCAATTATTCAAATTATATTATTGATTATTGCAATATAGTAATATTTTTATTTCATATTTATTGATAAAAATTAATTTAAAGTATTACATTGAAATTAAATTTTAAAAAAGAATTTTTTATTGAAAAAATAATAAAAATCAAATTAAAACATAATAATACTTTTAGCAAATAAATTTTATCTTTCTTATTAATAATTTTTAGCATTTTTTAAAATTATATCTGTTGTTTGATTGATTAATTTAAATAGTGCAGTCTTATTAGCAAAAGTAAAGTTAAAGTAAGATAAAAAGGATTTTAAAAAAGAAAAAATCTAATATTGTTAAAGTTTTATTTCAGGTGTTTGTGCAGCGTTTAGAGCTAGCTTCTTTTGCCTGCTTTTCTCTCCACAAAGCACTCTTTCCAAGTAAATTTTTTCATATATTGAGCAATTCTTTGTTACAATAGTATAGAATTATAAAAATTTATATTAATACAAATAAAATTTAGCAGAATTTTTAATTAATTTAAAAAAAATTGCTAAAATGCATTTTTTTTTTCAAAAAAAGAATAATTCATTAAAATATTTATTTTTTTAAATATGATCGATTATTACATTCAACTAAATTGTTGTACAATTATTTGCAAAATATCTGTTCAAATTGGAAATCAAATAAGTTGAATTTTCAGTTTAAGAATATCAAATAGCATCGTCAGATTTGTACAATTGATGATTGTAGATAATATTTTATGTGTCAGGAGTATTAAATTAATTAATTTAAAATAAAATTATGTAAACAAATTTAAGCAACCTCTACATTTATAACAATATTTAAAATTTATTAAATCACGTTATCATATATTCTTACGTGTTTTTTGTATTAGGCACCACGTGAACTACTCAACTAAATCATACACGCAATATGATTCCATCCATATACGGACAATTAGCAAGTTCTGGAGCGATCAGTGATCCTCTAGTTCAAGCTGCCGCAGCAGCATTAGCTGCTCAATCAGCTGCTGTTACTAATAACGCTACTGATGCGCTTTCTACTACTGGTATCAAATTTACACGTTATTTAAAAGTATTCTTCGCGTTAAGCATTATAGAATTTTTATATTGGGAATAGCAGTTCCTTTTAATATTGATGTAAAGCAACAAAAAAAAGTCAAATAATAAACTTTTATTTATAAGAAAAATATAAAAACTTATTAGTGTTATTCACTTTAGGCATTCGTGACACAACGTTTACAAAAATTTTCGTCGGTGGATTACCATATCATACGTCAGATAAAACATTACACGAATATTTTGAGCAATTTGGTGAAATTGAAGAAGCTGTTGTTATCACTGATAGACAAACGCAAAAAAGTCGCGGATATGGTTTTGTAAGAATTTTAGTCTTAATTTCCTTTGAAAAATAGATAAATTAATTACAATTTAAAAGTGAGATGAATTAGCGCAAAAAGTAATTACACCATTTGTAGTCTCTTTTTATTGTAATAAAGTTTTATGGTTTAAAAATTTTTTAAATTCGATAGTAAAAAGTATTTTAAAGTATTTTATGTTTTGGCTATAAATTTTACTTTTTCAAAATGTAATTTAATCTTTTTAGGTCACAATGAAAGATCGAGTTGCAGCTGAACGAGCTTGCAAGGATCCTAATCCAATTATTGATGGTCGAAAAGCAAATGTCAATTTAGCATATTTGGGTGCTAAACCCCGTGGCAATATTCAACTTGCTGGTAAATTGACAAATTTGACCTATCTACTTTTGTTTTGCAACCTTTGAGAAAGAATTTTTAGAAAATCATGATCAGTTACTTTTTTTAGATCAAAATTCTTTGTTTTAAAAAATAAACTTTCTGCAAATAAATACATAACATATTAATTACTTAAATTGTTTTTGAATCTTCACGAAATCTCAACTGAAAATAAATTAAATTAGACAAATTTCACGAAAATACTCTTTAATTTGGTTGGAAAGAAATATTTAATAGAATAATTTGTTCCAAAAAATTTTTTAACTATGAAAGGTCAGCTTCTTACTTATAAGATTAATCATTTTGTAAACTTTAATACTGACATATGATGTATTTATTGGTTTTAAAGCGCAAATTAGTCATCACTAAGGCAAGTTTTAAAATTTAATTAGTCTAAAAATTGATCAGAATTGGATTCATGCTTCTATGGGACGAATATTCAAAGTTTAAATTTTGCGCTCTCAGAGTATCTTTTAGGTTTTATGTTTAACTGATTTTTATTTGTAACAGTGAAGTTTTACGATTTTTTCGAGTGTATTTTTCTTAGATCAAAAATGGTTTAAATTTGGAACTAACTAGATCTGAAACAACTGTGTGATTGACTGATTAATTGTTTTTCGTTTGTTGCATGTTTTTTCTTTGTTATTTTCTGTGATTTTTCAAATACTTAATCTTGATCTTTTAATCTAATCAAATCTTTTCATATCTTTTATTCTTTTCAGCGCTTTCTAACGGATTACAGCAAATTCCGCTGCAAGCGCAACTGCAGGCTCTATTTCCCGGTCGCATTGCCGGGTAATCTCTTGCATTTCTTGCATTTTTTACATTCACTGTAATAAGTTATCAAAAATTTTAAATTACTTTCTAAAACTTTTGTTTCGGTTTTCACGTACGTATATTTATGATTGCGTGTGTACTTAATTAATTCTTTCATTTTATTGCAAGTTGGAACAAAATAAGCCCTGCCATCTGTCTCTTTTAAATATAAATAAATAAATAAATAAATATATATATATATATATATATA